ATTTCAATATAAGCCTCCAAACCAAAGTGAATTTTTATACAATTTTGCGGAAATTCTTACTATGTTGAGAGCTCATTGTGAAATAATAACGTTGGGTGATTTTAATATTTGTTGGAATCAAAGAAAATCAGATGTATAAAACTTATCACGCCATATTAAATATGTTTGGATTTCATCAGATCATTCAAGAATTACAAATAACACATGTACCCTGTTAGATCACATTCTTTGTAATGACAAAGACAGAGTCTGCCAGTCTGGAACTACCTCAATTGGTTTAAGTGATCACTTTCTTACTTATTGTACAAGGAAAGTCCCTAGAAGCTCAATTAAGAAACCCAATACAGTGAAAATAGGATCTACAAAACATTACAACAAAGATCTCTTCAAAGAAAAGCTACTTAATGCTAATTGGGAAGAACGTTTTTGTGCTCAGAGTCAGGAGGAATCTTGGTCAAAATTGAGAGAAATATTTATGAAAGTTTTGGATATTGTAGCTCTAGTCAAAGAAATTAGACTGAAGCAGAGACCTGAACCATGGCTGAACTAAGATATTTTAGACAATATTCGCTTGAGAGATAAAATTTTGCATCAATATAAAAACACAATGATGAGTCTGACTACTAAAATGTTTGTCTACTTAGAAATAAGATCCAAAGAGAAATCAAAAAAGCAAAATCAGATTTTTTTCAAAACAAGATCGAAGAAAATCGTAACAAACCCAAAAAACTGTGGCAATATTTGAAAGATCTAGGATATGAAAAAGCAAAAAAAAATCCAATTCAAACATTGTCTTAAATATTGAGGATAAAAGCTGTTCTGACGGTCATACTATAGCCTATTTTTTCAATAACTTTTTCACTGCCATTGTCTCAAGCTTAGTTAGTAGATAACTTTGCAATATCAACCCTTACAAAACCACCGATCTAGACGGAATACCTGCTAGATTTTTGAAAGACGGGGCTGATGTATTGAAAATTCCTGTTACTTTTCTCATTAATACATCTATAAGTACTGGATCAGTACCCGATGAACTCAAGTTAGCAAAAGTAAAACCTTTATTCAAGAAAAAAAGATAAATTTCAAGTTGAAAATTACAGACCTGTGAGCATACTAAGCACAGTTTCCAAAATTCTTGAAAAAGCTGTCTACGTCCAACTGGAACATTTTCTAGTTTCTAATAATATACTCTATGAGTTACAATCTGGATTCAGAAGTTGTTATTCTACAGAAACTTGTTTAATTCATCTATTTGATCATATTAAAAAACAAACTGCTAAGGGATTATTTACAGGTATGATAATGCTTGACCTGCAGAAAGCTTTCGACACAGTCGATCACCATATACTTTGTAACAAATTGGAAATTATGGGAGTTAAATCTGTTTAAAAATGGTTCCAGTCTTATCTGCAAAAATGAAAAAAAGTTGTTTTTGTAAATGGAGTAAAATCTAAAGAAGCTGAAGTTGATTGTGGAGTTCCTCAAGGGAGTATGTTAGGCCCTTTATTATTAATAACTTATGTAAATGACATGCAAATCAGTATAGATCCTGCTTGCAAACTTATTTTATATGCTGATGACAGTACAATTCTCTTTTCTCACTCTGACCCAAAATTTATATCAACCAAATTGAGCCAAGTTCTAGAATAATGTTCAGATTGGCTAGTTGATAACAAACTGTCATTAAATCTGGGAAAAACTGAATGCATCCTCTTTGGAACTAAGAGAAAGCTAAAAAATGTTGGAACAGTTTAAAATTATTTGTAATGGTCATACTATTCTGTTGCAACCTTTCGTCAAATATCTTTGTTTGTCCATGGATTGCTTTAAAAGTAAGTGGTAGACTTAAATTTCTATATAGGCAAACACGTTTTCTTCCACTATCCACCAGGAAAATATTATGCTCAGCTTAGATTCCAGGTCCAGAATTGGTTACAATGAATTGTCTAGTCTAAATATACTTAATGTTAGTAATAGAGTAAATCAACTCGGAGTAAACCATGCTTTTAATATTTTTTAATGACAAATGCCCCTGACTTCAAAAGGCTAACAGAACTGCAGCAACACTAAACAAGATCTAGTGAATACAATTTGTATATTCCAAATGTGAGCGGGGCAGAATCTACCACGTTTTATTATAGTGCTGCTAAAGATTGGAATTCTGTACCAGAAAGTATCACGAAGATAAAGAGTAAATCATCATTTAAAGTTGCGATCAAAAACATCTTTTTGAAAAACTAAAAAGAGAAAAGGATCAGATATTTGTATTTTATTAACGTAATCTGTTCTAAATATATGTTTGTGTATGTGTGTGTGTGAATATGTGAGTGTGTACACAATATGGGTGCTGTACCTCAATGCAATGTATTTTAAGCTACAACCTATATATTAACATCAGTTTTAACATACAATTAAGTTATCTTCAAAATATAATAGCTATAGTAATTTTACTTAAGTAGTGTTTATGTGTCTGTTAATGGACCCCAGTGGAAATAAGCTTCATGGCTTCCTGGGTAATCCTGTGTTTTAAGTGCAACATATATTCTAGTTCATCTTCATCTTCATTTTTTTTCTTCCTCCGTCGATGCCGACGATTACGGAAGTCGGTCTTGTGCTATTGTGCGTTAATTAGTATGTACAGTGATCTTTTTTGTATTTTTGTTATTTGCTATAGGATAAAAACAGGTTAAAATCAGTGAGTGAGTGTTAGTTATGTTATAGGTTTTGGTGCATGTCCTGAATTCTGCTAGTGTTTCTGATAGGATTATTGTTTTGGGTAGGAGGTTCCACTGTATTATGGTGTATGAAAAGAATGAGTGTCTGTATGTGTCTTTGGATGTGTAGATATGTCTGTAACTAAGGTCGTGTCCTTGACGTGTTCTGGTGTCTCCATGGATGAGATTGTTGGTGTGTATTGCTACCTGTTGGTGTATTATTTTGTAGAGAAGAATAATGCGTGTTCTTGTTCTACGTGTGTGAAGTGTTGGCCATTGCAAGTTGTGTATCATATCTGTGACTGAGCTTGTGTTATGGTATTTGTTTAGGACATATCGTGCTGCTCTTAGTTGTACTTTTTTCTACTTGATTTATGTTATTTGTATAACGTTGGTCCCAAACTGAAGAGCAATATTCGAGTGTTGGTCTTACAATGGCCTTGTATGCGTGTTCTTTTATGTGTGGTGAATTTATTTTTAGGTTGCGTTTCAGAAAGTCTGGTGAATTATTTGCATTTGATGTGATGTTGTTAATGCGTTTGTCCGATTTTAAGTTGTTTTGAAGTGTGATGCCTAGATATTTGTTTGAAGTTACATATTCTAGTGTGTGGTCATGGAGTGTGTATTGGTGTTTAATTTGTGTGCGTTTTGGTGATATAGTGAGTATGGTGCATTTGTCTGGGCGGAATTTCATGAGCCAGTCCTCTTCCCATTTACTAGCTGCATCTAAATGTGCTTGTAGTTTTGTCGTGTCGTCTTTGTTGTTGATTGTTTTGTATAGTATGCTGTCGTCTGCAAAAAAGTCTTGGTGTACTAGTACTGTGCGATATGTATTCGGGGAAGTCGTTGATGTATATGAGGAAGAGGGCTGGTCCCAAACAGGTTCCTTGAGGCACTCCAGATGTTACTGGGATTTTGTCGGAGTGTTTGCCCTCAAGTACTACTGTTTGGGTACCTTGTGATAGGAAGTCTGTTATCCATGTTAGTGTGGTTCCGGTGATGCCGTAATAATTTAGTTTGTGCTGTAGGTGTTTGTGTGGGACTTTGTCGAAGGCTTTGGCAAAGTCCATTATGATAATGTCTGTTTGTTTGTCGTTGTTGTGGTTCTGTGCGAGGTCTTTTATGAATGTAATGAGTTGTGTTTCGCAAGATCTTGATGTGCGGAAGCCATGTTGTAGGTCGTGCAGTATTTTGTTGTCTTCTAAGTGTTTCATGGTTGCGCTTGTGATTATGTGTTCTATGAGTTTGCGTGTGATGCATGTGAGTGATATTGGTCTGTAGTTTGTTGGGCTGTATTTGTCTCCTTTTTTGTATATGGGGTTTAAGTTGGCGTGTTTCCAGTCACTGGGTAATGTTCCTGTATTGAGTGATGTTTGGAATTTTTGTTAGTATTGGTGCTGTGATATCCTTGAGTTCTTTCAGTATTCTGCCGTGTATAAGGTCTGGGCCTGTTGCTTTGTGTGGGTTAATGCTATTTAGTAGTTTGGTGACTCCTTGGGGTGGTATGTGTATATCTGGCATGGGTGGATGAGGTGATATTCCTTTTTTGGGTATTGTTGTGTTCTGTTCTGGTGTGAAGGCTTCTTGGAACTGTTCATTAAGTATGTTTGCCTTTGTTTCTACGTTAGTGCTATGATGTCTGTGTTTTCTTTTTTTGTGGTTTTGATGAACGAGAAGAGTTTTTAGGGTTGTATTTGTTCCTTGTGCTGGTGTCTTCAGGTTTTAAGGTTATTTTATTTTTCGAAGGAATAACCATTACTTATCTTGTAATTTATAAAAGTTTGATAACTTTTTTCTAGATACTTACATATAATTTTACATTAATATTATAATGTAATCAGCCATATAAATTATTAGTGCCAAAACATGTATTGATTACTGTATGAAATTGTTATGTTGTTGTACCTATTTACCAAATAAACTTGAATACTGTACGTCGCTGTTAAAAGTATTATTAATATTAATAATAATTATTATTGTTTTTAAGTACATGGGCTAAGGGAAATAACTCTCACAAATACATTTTTTTTTATCCAAATAATGATTTCTCCCCCCAAAAAATATTCAGCGGTGCTTTCCTGAAAACGTTGTTTATTCTCGGAAAGGATACATATCAGAGAACGGAACATTCAGTAATCAGTTATTACAAATTATGATGTATTATTTTTTATTTGACAAACATCAATGGCTTTATTCCAACACGCACCTTGTCTTTACTACGACGACTAATAACCAGTCCCCCGAAAACAAAAATTACCCAAAATTTCCCACAATTCCTCACTGTCAAGGAAGCAGTATGGCGTGAAAATAGCAAGACGTTTAAACTTGTTGGAAATTTAAATGGGGTGTGAAACTGACAAGATATGTGAACAGGATGATTTTATAACCTGTGCTTCTTTATCATGTAAGTATGTGTATAAAACATGCTTTGCACCGTATGAATCTTTAAATTACGACGAAAAATATCGGAATTTGGCTGACAGAACGTGTCTGGGCAAAAACAATGCACTGGCGAAATGTCAAAAACTTACACCAAATACCTTGTTTACATTCTGCGTTATTCAGTGTAATAACGAAACATGTAAATTCTTATGACAGAGAAGGCAACTTTATACATCTAGAAAATCGTTAGCCTTGCTATAATAATTGATATGTTTAAAACAAAATAATCTTTATTCCATGTTTTGCTTTGATAGTTGGAAGGTTTTGATGAAAGTTGGGAGTGAAAATGGACGCGGGACGGATGATGATCAACGATCAGGTCATCCTAGAGGAAGATTACGACGAGAACTATCAGCCCGGTGAAGATGGTAAGAACTGAATGAATTGGTGAATGCATCCGAAGATTATTTAATAATAACATGCTGCTAACCATGCAACAGTTGGCAGATAACCCATTAATTATGTAGGTTATTCAAATTAACACGGTGAGAGTATCAACTATTAATCATAACTGCTTGACGATAAAATGGATAAATTATAGTTTTTATTGATTGTCAGAAAAAGGAAATAGATATGAAAACATAAAAAATCAACATTTATATTACTGTTCTTCATATTTAACGAAATCAAAACAACTATCTATTTGGTCAATCGATGAGTACAGTAGAGTATTTACACACCTTAAAACAACAATATTTTCCCAAAGTTTGAAACATATGTGTATTTAAGACATTTGTAACTCATCCTTGTGCCTTAATACTGAGGAAAGGTAATTATTGTCTTTTGCAGCTTAATTTAAAAAAAATATATTTTCATTAACGTATTTCAATAACACTAGAACTAGAAATAATGATTCAATTGCTGATTCTTTCTCCTTTTTTTCTCTCACAATTTCCCCAAAAATCCTTGCTGGTAGCCTTAGTTCTCAAGATTTAGTATTTTAAACTTGAATTCATGAAATCTGATTACTGTCCTTTTCCCTATTTTTTTTACAACCATTACAAGCAACACAAGTAAAAATGATGAACAAAGTAAGAACAATAACATGTGACCCATTTTGTTTATTCTTTTTATTGATGTGGAATCAAATTTAACTTTGTCATATATCTATGAACATCATATTTCCATAAACATTACATTGAACCTGAATGTACATATGTGTATTAGTATTGACAATAAATATTGTATTCTGCCTTTTTCAGAAATCGTTGAGTATTCCCAGATCATTGGTATTGACCCTCGTACAGAGCCCCACCTGCTGTGGATTGCAAGGGAGGGAATCAATGCACCACTGCCGGAACACTGGAGGCCGTGGTAACTATTATACAGTAATGCTAGGTTGATTCACAGATGTATTTAGGGGTGTACATGTGATTCCATCAGTGTGTTGACCAGACTACTAGATTTGATGTCAGAGCGTTTGAAAAAAAAAAAATGTATATGTTACACAAATGTATCCTGTTTTGCATATATTTGTAACATAAGCTAATTTCCTAAACACAACAGTAACAAAATTACACTACAAGAATATATATATAGGTTACGGTAACAAAATTAAACTACAAGAATATCTACATAGGTTACAGTAACAAAATTAAACTACAAGAATATCTATATAGGTTACAGTAACAAAATTAAACTACAAGAATATCTATATAGGTTACAGTAACAAAATTAAACTACAAGAATATCTATATAGGTTACAGTAACAAAATTAAACTACAATAATATCTATATATAGGTTACAGTAACAAAATTAAACTAAAGGAATATCTATATATAGGTTACAGTAACAAAATTAAACTACAAGAATATCTATATAGGTTACAGTATCAAAATTAAACTACAGGAATATCTATCTATAGGTTACAGTAACAAAATTAAACTACAAGAATATCTATATAGGTTACAGTATCAAAATTAAACTACAGGAATATCTATCTATAGGTTACAGTAACAAAATTAAACTACAAGAATATCTATATAGGTTACAGTAACAACATTAAACTACAAGAATATCTATATAGGTTACGGTAACAAAATTAAACTACAAGAATATCTACATAGGTTACAGTAACAAAATTAAACTACAAGAATATCTATATAGGTTACAGTAACAAAATTAAACTACAGGAATATCTATATATAGGTTACAGTAACAAAATTAAACTAGTACAAGAATATCTACATATAGGTTACAGTAACAAAACAAAACTACTAAAGTACAAGGACATGCATAGAGAGACTTGCCTGGTTTTCACTGTTTAAATGTTCTGTGTGATGCTGTTCCAAGACTATTGAGTAGTTAATGTTTAACTTCTATAACTCATTTGCACTATTTAACATTTTGAACAAACTGTACGACACCTTTCGAGAAATAGGTACTCTGCTCCATTTGTTTGAAAACAAAGTTCAATGATGTGGTTTGTTGAGGTCTAATTGAGGTCTGAACTGTTAGACAAAAATGTGTAGCTTGTTGTATATTTCTGACCACCTAGAATCTACGATGAATTTTTTTATCCTCAGATTAGCAAACAGGCATTAATGTGAAAAAAAAGGTTTTATAAGATTGTGAAACATTGAACTCAGGTCTGAAATGTCATTCATTGTAGCTCTATAAACATTTTGTTGAGTAATGAAAGAAAAATGAATATCTTATTGTATGGCAAATTATAAAATTTTCATAACAAAGCAAGCTTGAAATGCTTAGATTTAGAAACCAAACATTAGTTGAAGCAGGTTTGTCCCTGTGTCATATATTCCATTTATTTGGGCTATGTTTGTAGAGAGGTTTTTCTATTTCAGCCAAGATCCCAATGATGACATCTACTACTTTAACTTTGCCTCGGGAGAAAGTATCTGGGACCACCCATGTGATGAGTTCTACAGGAAAATGGTGGCCGAGGAACGCAAGAAATATATCATGGGTAAAGATGTGTTGACCAAGTCGTATCTGATCCGTTCGGAGTTTGGTCTAATCAATATTATTGTCTTACCATGACCTACGTACCACTGGCCTCTTGTTAGTTATGTATAGTATGGAAGTATCATATATTATATAATTTCAATAATATAGCCTTACTTACTGGAGAGCAGTGGTCAAGTAAGACCATAAATGAATACTCTTGAATATACTTGTAGCGTTCACTGCCCAAAGGTGATTACTAGTACTGTTACCAGAACAGTTGATAGAGTCAAGAAAATATAATTTTGAACAGGAGCCAGTGGTGTTGTTGTTGCTCATCCTTTCTCTTTGAGTTGACCTGCCATCATGCAAACTCTCCACCCCACACTACCGTCACATTGGAACTGACCCCAGTGACGTTGGTCCCACACCCACACCCCTACCCCTTCTTGATTGTTTGCAGAACAGTTCATAAAAAAAATTTTTGGTATCTTTAATTTGTCACTGTTGAAGTTTTGATAGACAACAATTTTTTTTTAACAGGTGGAGGGTCAAGGTCAGGACCTGGAGGTCAAGGACCCGGATCTGCAGGTCAGTTTTAACGTTAATGATTGGGTAAACAATACCGATATAAAAGAAAGGGAAATCGTTTTTTGATTGAAAGTCTGTTAGAATTGCTATGAAATGTTTGATTTGATACAAAAATGAGTTTAAATATCCTGAAGTAATTTCTATAAAATTAGCATGTAAAATTTATTTGGTTTACAGCTCTGAAAGATTGGACTAAAATTAAGATTTAGACTTGAAAGTGTGTTGTGTTCTTAACTGCAGGACCAATCTAGAATAAAGTAGAAGTTTTAAAAATTGTCCAATAGTGTTGTAAAGTTTAACCCTGTCATCAATAAGATGTGGCTCCCTACTCACAGTATGATTCATGGCTCATGAATTTCGAATTTGGTTAAATTTCAATTTTATAATAGTGCTTTAATCAATAACACATGTTCTAGTTGGCTATCAGCCAAACACAGATGTAGTGTGCAATGGTTCACACTGGAAACTGTTTCTATCACATCACTGGTGATGATTAATTGTGCTACACGTTGGCATGTTAGAGGATAAAATACAGTTTATCCATCAACAAAGACGTTGACAAACGTGATGATGTAAACAATCCAAAATAGCTGAAACGATTTGAAAACTAATCCTAACCAGAGTAAGTCTGACCCCAGACAGATCTATTGTCCAATATCAGTTCTATATCAGAGCAAAGCTTATATAATTAACTTGTAGGTTCATCCAGGTTTTGTGTGGTTGTTTTCACTTTAGAACTTTCTTTCAAGGAAACACTTTACTTTGATATTTACAATTGGAATTTGACTTAAAGCCTAGTTTTCAAATAAAAGATATTCCAATTTATTACTGACCTACAGGTTTTCCCATTTAATTGGTCCTGATAATTGACTAAGGAAAGGGGTCAGAGGCATTTTTTTCGAGAGATTATCAGTTTGAAAAATGTGATGATATGTATATCAATAAAAGACAATGAAACCAAAAAAATCTTGATGTATTATGCAGAAATTTTTCTTTGAAATGACTTGAACTTACTGTAAAATTAGTCCCAGATTTGTTTAGAAACAAAATTACATATATCTGTATAATTTCATGTTGAAGGAGGGAAGAAAGGCAAACTGGGAAAAGATGATGGAAAGAAGAAAAAAGACAAACAAAACAAGCAATCTCCACTAAAAGTAAGTTGACGTAAAGAATACACATGTCACCTTGTCATGTTCTCAGAAATTTCATTCAGCTGGAAATTGAGAAAATATTCCCATTGAATGAATACATTTGTCATCACTTTTCTGCTATTTTAAGTTGTAAGAACTAAGGTGGAGAAAACCCAAAACAACATGCATCAGGCTCATCAACACAGAGTCACAGATTCCTAAAACTTTAGAACCAGCACTGGGCAGTAGAACATTAGGGAAGCCTTCAATTGAACTGATGATCCATTATGTGTTTTTTGGTAAACTCTCCAATATGTTGTTTAATTGCTAAATTGCTAATACCTAGTCCCAGTGTGGTAACAGTTTGTCATTTCTATGTTAAATGCAGGTAGTCTGGTCCCAACACCATAAAACCATGTCACTCCTGTGGTTAATTCCAGGAGCCTGGTCCCAAGACAGTAAAACATCGAAACGTCTCCTTTTTGTGATAAATTCTAGGAGCTCAATGTCAAGAAAGTAAATTGAAGGGGTTTGCAGTTATATTTGGGAATCAGATATTTTGAGTCCTTGACTCCTGTTTTTCCTTTGGGACTCTTTGACGAACCACTATAACTCTAAATCATGGAATTATTAAGTGATGAAAATTTTGAAAAAAATATTCATGGCTCACCTGAAAAAACCTATGAAAATCACTGTGGCTTATTCTGATCACAATAAAACAATGTTTAATTTCTGAGATAAATTCAGGGGGCTTTGTTCTAAGAAGATAAAGCAGAACAACTTATCAAAAAAATTGTGAATTCAGCAGACCTAATCCAAAGTCAGTAAAGTAATAAATACTAGATTCACTCAAAGATCCATGTGCAGTAATCTGAATTATTCACCAATGTCTGAAGAAGGTGGGATAAATTATTGTTTTGAAATCTCCTAAGTAACCATATATTTTGCTTGAAAACACTGTATATATGATAGCAGTGCTGCTTGTTATTCATCTATTTTCTGGAGAATAATCATGTGTAACATTGGGTGTTTACAGCAACTGGGTCCGTTAAAAGCTGAGCAGAGCCTGGGTACACCGTCCCTTCACCGGGGAGGCCCTGGTCCAGGGAGTGGGTTGGAACCAATGAAGTCCGGGGGATCACTGGGACCCCTTAGGGGTTCTACAGGTACCAGTCAACCGGTAAGTTTATTCAGGGGTGCCAACGTCTCTACTGACCAGTACTGTGTTGATGTGTGTCAGAATAATTGGAGTATAGCCATTAGCATGTTGATGTGTGTCAGAATTGTTACAATTTGTTTTTCTTTTAAAACAATCGGATATTTGAATATTCTTTTGTTTGTTTCTTTAAAAACCTTGTTATTTCTATCACCTTACTAAGTTCATTTTATTATCTATATTTGGTTCAAGTAGCTCTAAACACCCATATAATGGTTCTTTAAATCATCTGGCCCTTGGTTCAAAGGGCAAGATGAGCTATTGTGATCAAATCTCAATCTGTTGTCTGTAAACTTTTTTTTATTGACTTTTCAAGAACAATTTCTAACCAGTTTTGGTAGGCAGTATCTAGGTCTTTCACAGATACATAGATGTTTACAACACAAGGTGCACAGAATTTGAAAAGTCTCACCCATAATCAGGTAGAACGTTGTGTTGTTATATATGTACAGTATTGATAATGAAAAGATAACTATATTCATTTATATACTTTCTATTTGTGCATTAAACAATATTTCTTAAAAAAATAAAATCAAAGGCTTTATAAGTTGTATAATGTTTTGATATTTTGTGGTAGTCTTACGTTCTTTAGTGTCTTGTTACAAAATAATGCATTAAGGAATTTTGTATTGTGACGAAATGCACATCCTCAAAGCAGGTGGATGAAGAATATTTCTTAACATTTTATTATATTCCCTGCAAATGAAGTTTAAGGGGTGTATAGAGGAATCACCCTGTCCATCCATCTGTACATGAACCTCATGAGCACAACTCCTCTTATAAACTGTTTGTTGGATTTCTTTGTAATTTGGTACAGTGAAAGCAAATCATATGCATACATATATGTATGAAGAAAGGAAATTGCAATTTGACTAATTTCCCTGGAGTTATTGCCCTTGGAAACTTTAATTTCTGCTCCACAAGCCTTGTAAGCACAACTTCTCCTGAACCTTTACTGGGATTCTTTGTGTAACTTGGCACAGGGAAAGCACATCATCTGTTGATGTGCATAGAGACAGAGATTTGTGATAGGGTATTAATACACCCTGCAAACAAAGTTTAAAAAAGTGTAAAAACTAAAGCAGGGGGTATATCTTAGTGGCTCATTCACAGTTTCTCTAGTAATTTTGTATGATGGAACAAAGGGAGGTAACCATTTGGCTCTGGTTTATTTTGTAGGGCTCTCCAGTGAGTACTGTTTCATGGTCAGACTGGTCAGGTTGTAGTGATTTTTACTGCTGTGATATATGTATTACAAACCTGTCCATCATACTAAATCATCACCTAACTTAAACCTCCATTTCATTGCTATACCATACTAGCTTTAGGTATAGGTTGGCTATTGATAGTTGGTAAAGAGGGAAATCGTGTAATAATGTGTTTCTGTATATCAACATTTTAGGTCATTTAGGGTCAACCAACACTAAAATAGACATTCACAGGAATCTGTAATTGATCAATATTACTACATTATAATTACCACATAGTATTTAAGCATATATTGGGAAGTTAACATTACTCAAGACTATTATAATTACTAGAAATTAATTGGGATATATATATAGGTGTCAGAAAGACAAAAGTTTTGAATATTTTGTATCACAATGGTTTTTGTGTACAGTGAATGGGGATATATAGTGTGTGAGGTTTTGTTGAAAGTGATTTACAGTGGAACCTTATTGGAAGGACGATATCATCACCTCCTGTATACTTTTCCATTCAGGAAAAACAACAGTAACCAATGTAAAATTATACTCTGTTCATTGTTGTTGTCAGAAATATAAATTTTAACATAGATATGTGTTAGATGAAATGTCTAGGAATAACTTATTTTTTTCTACATTGGTCTTGTAGGATGTAATTCAAACATGACATTTTGTACCTAATTCAGCGGCGTTGTTGCTCATCGTTTCTTTTTTCATTTAGTCTTGATATGTTTGTATGCATAAGAAAAGTGCTGATGGTTTGGTGTAAAAGAAAAGATGAATACATTGTCTAACTTAACAAATACCATTTTTGGCTTAGATAGGGTTCAGTTCCTGAGTCCCCAGAAACAGACAACCATCAGGCTTAGATAGGGTTCAGTTGCTGAGTTAAAGCCCCCAGAAACAGACAAACATCAGGCTTAGATAGGGTTCAGTTCCTGAGTCCCCAGAAACAGACAACCATCAGGCTTAGATAGGGTTCAGTTCCTGAGCCCCCAGAAACAGACACCCAGAAACAGACAACCATCAGGCTTAGATAGGGTTCAGTTGCTGAGTTAAAGCCCCCAGAAACAGACAACCATCAGGCTTAGATAGGGTTCAGTTCCTGAGTCCCCAGAAACAGACAACCATCAGGCTTAGATAGGGTTCAGTTGCTGAGTTAAAGCCCCCAGAAACAGACAAACATCAGGCTTAGATAGGGTTCAGTTCCTGAGTCCCCAGAAACAGACAACCATCAGGCTTAGATAGGGTTCAGTTCCTGAGCCCCCAGAAACAGACACCCAGAAACAGACAACCATCAGGCTTAGATAGGGTTCAGTTGCTGAGTTAAAGCCCCCAGAAACAGACAACCATCAGGCTTAGATAGGGTTCAGTTGCTGAGCCCCCAGAAACAGACAACCATCAGGCTTAGATAGGGTTCAGTTCCTGAGCCCCTAAAAACAGACAACCATCAGGCTTAGATAGGGTTCAGTTGCTGAGTTAAAGCCCCCAGAAACAGACAACCATCAGGCTTGTATAGGGTTCAGTTGCTGAGCCCCCAGAAACAGACAACCATCAGGCTTAGATAGGGTTCAGTTCCTGAGTCCCCAGAAACAGACAACCATCTGAGCCCAGATTAACAGGCTGGAGGTTCCTTTGTATCGGCCGTTATGTTTGCGAGTGTTTGCTTCATTCACGCTATTGTGTGAGAACAAGCGAGGGTGTGAAGTCCTGTGGTTTTTTAAAACTTCATTTCAAGGTTTAAAATGCTCTATACTCTTAACATTTAAAAAATTGAAATAGTATGAAACACTCCGTTACAAACATGTTCCAAGGTAAAATTGTCGTATCTTATAAAGGATCATGTTACTAGATTTATTGTGTTGCATTTTTTTTTTAATTCAATTTTGATTTGATAATAAATTACATTTTTATCTTAGCCTTCTATTCTTCTGTCCTATTATGAAGAGTTTCATGTCTGCATATATCAGGACATTTATTTACTGTATTCTGTGCACACTTGCTAGTACACATACATTGTATTCTAGAACATCCCTAGTGATGTTTTTAGTAGTTGTGTATCATTCATGTTATGTAGGGTAGTTGATTTCCTTGTGGTAAAGTGTATATAAATATATATCTTCATTTGTAAGGGATGTTGGTGAACTCTTTAAGCACAATTCTGTCATAATCACCACCTGTAAATTATTTGAAGTAACAACATAACTATTTATACATTTTTTTGGGCTCAATGTTTATTTGTTAAAGTAGGTGGATGAATTCTCTTAACACAGTTCTCTCAAAATCACCACTTGTGTATTGCATGAAGAAATAAAATAATTATTACAATAATGGATATTTCAGGTTGATAAATAACTGTTAAGTGTTTTTATCAGTGACCTGTATGGCAAGATTAAACCAGTATGTAATGGTTCATCCTTTTTAGTCACAAGCACTCTATCGAATCCATCATTTTTGTCTCGCTGAAAAATGTCTAAAAATGTAGTTTGTACAGACACAAAGCATGGCAAGGGGATATATAGTGGGACGGAGACCCTGAAATATCAATCTTTGACAAAACTTAATAAGTATGTTAGATATAATTACGCAAAGTTATTAAAGGTTGTAGGACATGTATCGGTTGCTTTACTCATTCAACTGACCATTTATAAGTAGTTCAGTTATCAATTTAAATTTAAAAGTTAACTTATTCAACTGTCTAGTAAAAAAATTATTAAATCAGCTGTTTGTTGTTAAATAAATCCCTGTTAGAGAATAAGTGTAAAAGATTTGGTTGTGCATGTTTAAGGTATAAAAATTGGTAAACAAAACTAGCTACACCCTAAATTTGGATGTGTAAGTTTTTATGTCATTTCTAAAACAGCACTGTTCCTTATAAACTTCTAAACATATATCATCATAAATATTAAAATAAAGATATTAAATGACACAACCTTTTCCTAAATCCTCTTTGATTGGATCGTAATCACTTGGAGGTTAGTAATTTGTGATATTGACTCGGTCTAACTGTTTTTTGAAACAGCAGATCAATAATCATTTCGCAATGCTTTCTGTCAATTCAGTTAGTTATTCTGTACAATTTTCATATGTTCCATCTTTTTTGATAATGAAAACATCATTTAGAATTTGATATAAAACAATTAGTGTCTTTTATTTTATCCAATATGTGGTTATATGGACCTGAGAAAGTAATATTGAGAAGTTTCGCACAATAGCACTTTTTCAGGTCTATATATAACCACATATTAACCTCAACAGAAGTCCATAACTGATGATTATTTATAGACTACTTTATTTGGTAGAAGTAATTAGATGTATACTGTGTTTTACTGTCCAACAGACTGACAATGTGGTAGATTTCTTACAAGGAATGTCTTCGCCGGTTGAAACTGTGAATATACTGCTGTTCATTTTTTTGTCATTCTTCATCTTATACAAAAATGCCATAGTTGTTTTAATTGTATTTCTATACCAAATTAATGAAATTAGTTTTAGTTGGAAGTTGTGTGGAACGGTTTTGCCTGTTAGAATGTTCTGTCATACATGTAATTTGTAATAATATATGAAAACCCTTTTTTCATATTTTATTATATGTAGGAATACCTATGGCATATTTCTTTGAGCAGTCATTTGTATGATTCACAGTGCTACCTAGGATAGAAACTATACACAGCCTTACAAGTTTAGAGATATTTAGGTAGATGCTAGATTAAATCTATAAGTAATCATAGAATAGATGATTGAATCAATCTTAATGCTTATTATCAAAAACATCAAAATCTTTGTAATGTTATAATCAAAGTAAGGGAGACAATTTAATTATCTCCCCTTATTTTCATCCATAAGTAGATTTAGTTTCAGATGTTTATATTATTATTTCACAATGGTCGTAGTCTTTAAATGCCTTAATGTTTTGTTCATCCTAAGGATAAATATGACACAAATTTATTTCCTTAATAAAAATTGATTAAAACCTGATGTCAGACAGTTACAGTTCTGTAATAGGACAATCAAACCTTTCTCTATATCAGAGCTGTTGAGGCCTTGAATACATTTGGGTAATATTGTTCAAAATAAGATGCTCAGTGACAAGAAGCTCATTTGATATTTCTCAGCAAAGATCCAACATGTTACAGCTTGTAGAAAAAAATTGCCTACCTAATCAGCAACTCCTCATGTAAGTGCCTCTTATCGGTTACAAGTGTCACATCCCTTTACCCTGATTTACCAGCTTATTTAAAAAAACCTGTCTATTATGGCTGTTTCTGACTTTAGAAGGATGTGCAGTCATTGTTAATGTCCACAATTGATAAGTACCCAGATACTTGTTTGGTGGAAACACTGGACAATCATTCTTGGACATGTAGGTAAACAAAACAGAAATTGATAGAAATTATGATTTATTTGAAATCATTTCAAAATCAGCTGAAAATTGCATGTTGTGCATGGCTGCATCTGTAACGGAATAGTATAGGGCTTTTAACATAAAATGTCACCTTGAATATTTATTTTATTTTTTGCCCTAATGAAGTTGTAAGAATTTGTTGTTTTAAAAAAATTGTAGATTATTCCAGTTTACTGTATATGAAATATATATATACTGTTATTGTGAAACTATGTTTTAGAAGATTATTTTTATCCAAATTTGTACTTCATATGTTTTTCATATTTTTTTGCTCTTTAAACATGTTTGAAAGGGAAGTAACACTTAATCTGGCACTTTCTAAACAATTTATGTTTATTCATTTTTGATGCTGATGCACAATTATTGACATAAAAAAGTGAAAAAAAAATGTTACTGAAATAAATTCCTGTTTATGATATTATTGTGTATTTGATTGTTCTCCCCAAGCATTTTTGTGAAAACTGGATTATTTTCACACAAAAAATATTACAATATTTATGTTTTTGTTGCAGATGCGGTCAAGCATGAACACAACCACAGGGTCGTTCAGGTCTGGTCAGGCGGTAAACCTGAGTAAGAGTGGGAACCTGACGAGTAGTATGAGTATCCCTATCTACTCGGTGGAGTTTGAGGACGAGGAGGCGAGTATATCTTCATCAAGGTCCTGCTTTATCACACAGGTTTATCAGGGTACTCTTAATTAGGTCTGTTTAAAGGACGTATTCCCAGCTGAAAAATCACTCCTTTAAAATTCCCAATAAGAAAATCTAAGAAAAAGAATATGCATAAATTTGATGAATTTTCCGAGTTCTCAAAAACTGAAAAAGTAGTATACCGGTATGTAAGAATGACAGATTAATGATGTTGTCGTAAAGATAGACTGAAATGAATGTTTTACATTGTAGTGTCGAGGTGATCATTTTCAATCCTTGGACTTGTATGTTCTGTTTCCAGTATTAATAATTATGAAAGTAGTAACACTAATTAGTAAAAATTTAAAAAAAAAATCACTATTTAATGTTACTTTCAAATTTCACGACATACAACTGCTAGCCCAATTGCAAGTGATTGTTAAAAATTAACATCCATAACGCCTTTGACAAGATTAATCCCGTTTTTTGTAGGGGGACCATGAAAGGCCGGTACGTCACAGTGTGGAACTGGAGATCCACGATGTAGCTGGGCTGGGATACGAGGTAGGACACACAAAGTCCTCCTCAGGCTTTCTCACAGTTAGAAAACTTCTCTTGATAGGAATATGTTTCTGATCAGATCCGTGACATCACTTAAGAAAATTTTCTAAGAAACACTGAATCTTCTTTTGAGAAGACTTCTGAAAGCTATTTTAGGATATCTGAGATGAACCAAATATTCTCTTGAGAGATTGGAGTTTCTGAGAGGTCTTGTCAATTTTTTTCATTAGAGAATATTTAAGAGGTACTGTATCTTCTCTTATTAGGATTTCTGATAAGGTCTGTCGCTTCTTTTGAGAGGATTTATAAGAAGCACTGATTCTTTTCTCATGAAGATTTTGAGAGTTTTCTTGACAGTATTGATGATTGCTACTGATTTTTTTATGGGAGCATTATTTTCTAAGAAGCAGCATTTTATCCATTTCTGAGATGTACTGTCAATGTTTTCTTTAGAGGATCTCTAAAAAGAACTGAATCTTTTCTTGAGAGGTTTTCTAAGAGGAACTTAATCTTCTGAGAGGATTATTTTGTTACATGTACTGAATCATCTCTTTAAATGATTTATCAAAGCTGCCAAATATGTAGTGTTTTAGAGCACATCTAAGAGAAGTACTGAATCTTTTCCTGAGAGGATCAAATATTCATTGATAGTCTCATCAGGATGGACATATAAAATTCATGATTATCAGAATATTTTTGGTAATACTTGATTAATTAAAAAGATGTGCCCTTAAACACAATCAAATATAATTTCATGGCTTATTTTTTTTATTTTCATAGGATTCTGACAGCGACAAGGTTGGCCACAAGGAATCAGACAGTGACAGTGAAGACTACGGCAAAGACATTGTACGTACTGACCCCTCCTTAAATAAGAGGTCAGAAGTACTGACCTCTCCTTAATTCATAGGTCAGAAGGACTGACCTCTCCTTAAATCATAGGTCAGAAGTACTGACCTCTCCTTAAATCATAGGTCAGAAGTACTGACCTCTCCTTAATTCATAGGTCAGAAGGACTGACCTCTCCTTAAATCATAGGTCAGAAGTACTGACCTTTCCTTAAATCATAGGTCAGAAGTACTGACCTCTCTTTACATCATAAGTCAGAAGTACTGACCGCTCCTTAAATCATAGGTCAGAAGAACTGACCTCTCCCTAAAACATAGGTCAGAAGTACTGACATTTCCTTAAAACATAGGTCAGAAGTACTGACCTCTCTTTACATCGTAGGTCAGAAGTACTGACCCCTCCTTAAATCATAGGTCAGAAGAACTGACCTCTCCCTAAATCATAGGTAAGAGGTACCGGTGATGACCTCTCCTTAAATCATAGGTCAGAAGTACTGACCTCTCCTTTAATCATAGGTCAGAAGGACTGACCTCTCCTTACATCATAGGTCAGAAGTACTGAGCTCTCCTTAAATCAAAGGTCAGAAGAACTGACCTCTCCCTAAATCATAGGTGAGAGGTACTGAGCTCTCCTTAAATCAAAGGTCAGAAGTACTGACCTCTCCTTACATCATAGGTCAGAAGTACTGACCTCNAGGTCAGATGTACTGACCTCTCCTTACATCATAGGTCAGAAGTACTGACCTTTCCTTAAGTCATAGGTCAGAAGAACTGACCTCTCCTTAAATCATAGGTCAATTTGACCTCCCCTTACATCAAAGGTCAGAAGTACTGACCTCTCCTTACATCATAGGTCAGAAGAACTGACCTCTCCTTAAATCAGAGGTCAGTTTGACCACCCCTTAACTTATAGGTCAGAAGTACTGACCTCTCCTTAAGTCATAGCTCAGAAGAACTGACATCTCCTTAAATCAGAGGTCAGTTTGACCTCCCCTTAACTTATAGGTCAGAAGTACTGACCTCTCCTTAAATCATAGGTCAGAAGTACTGACCTCTCCTTAAATCATAGGTCAGAAGTACTGACCTCTCCTTAAATCATAGGTCAGAAGTACTGACCTCTCCTTAAATCAGAGGTCAGAAGTACTGACCTCTTCCTAAATCAGAGGTCAGTTCGATCTCCCCTTAACTTATAGGTCAGAAGTACTGACCTTTCATTAAGTCATAGGTCAGAAGAACTGACCTCTCCTTAGTCATAGGTCAGAAGTACTGACCTCTCCTTACATCATACGTCAGTAGTACTGACCTCTCCTTAAATCAGAGGTCAGAAGTACTGACTTCTCCTTAAATCAGAGGTCAGAAGTACTGACCTCTCCTTAAATCATAGGTCAGACGTACTGACCTCTCCTTAAATCATAGGTCAGAAGGACTGACCTCTCCTTAAATCATAGGTCAGAACTAGTGACCTCTCCTTAAATCAGAGGTCAGAAGTACTGACCTCTCCTTACATCATAGGTCAGAAGTACTGACCTCTCCTTAAATCAGAGGTCAGAAGTACTGACCTCTCCTTAGTCATAGGTCAGAAGTACTGACCTCTCCTTAAACCATAGGTCAGAAGTACTGACCTCTCCTTAAATCATAGGTCAGAAGTACTGACCTCTCCTTAAATCAAAGGTCAGAAGAACTGACCTCTCCTTAAACCATAGGTCAGAAGTACTGAGCTCTCCTTAAATCATGGTCAGAAGTACTAGTACTGACCTCTCCTTAAATCATTGGTCAGAAGTACTTACCTCTCCTTACATCATAGGTCAGAAGTATTGACCTTTCCTTAAATCATAGGTCAGAAGTATTGACCTTTCCTTAAATCATAGGTCAGAAGTACTGTTTACACAGTGGTTGTGAGATTTAAGTCTCCGTTTGTTTTAACAGGTATAAGGTTATCAATATATGTCAAATTCATTTACAAAACTCAAAAGATTTTTCCTTTAGAAATAATTATTGTAGTACAGTTTATTTATTTCTTGAACAGATTGCAAATTAAAGAAAAAATTCTGGATAACTTGCACCCTATTTAATTGTTTCCCAAAAGTATTTCATAAATTACATGGACTTTGATTTTTTTTTTATTTCTCTAATGTTCACATTTTGATAAAAATAAATGTGTGTAAATTATTTTGTATTATACATACGTATGTTACATTGAGAGAAGTTTTCCATTATTGTTCTTTTTCCTTACTCTTTTTCAGGACTTTGGTATTGACAATAATTTATCAGAAAGAATAATGAACTTGGGCACAGAGAACTTGGACCCTGTCCGGGGCTCTCTGGAGAAGGTGAGAGTCTAAATCATTCAGTAGATTACTGAAGACATTTACATGTGAAAGAGGTTCACTTTATGGCTATTAAATATTTCCTATTGTTGACTTATTTTTTTATCATTTCATGGAAATCATTCAATTTTGAATTTGCAATATGTTGACAGTTACAAGATTTCGATCCCACCATGTCAGCCTTGTCCACGGCGAGGGGCGACTCACCTGGGGGTAACGTGAGCCCCCTCGACCGACCCACAGCAGATGACAGAAAGAAACGGGCAGAGGTAGCTGCTTTGGCTGCTGAAAGGTAAATATTTTCACAGAAAAAATATTTGCATAATATCTTATTTCAGTATCCTGTAGATACGAAAAGGCCTTAGTTTCTTGGCTACACATACTTGTAACCTCTCTTAGTAAGTCTCTATCATGCTGAGGTAGTCCTCTTTAGGTGATGCTGTGATGTAACTGAAGGGGTTATAAGGTCAAGAAATGGCTCTACAGACAAGAAATCTAGGCTACCATGTACCTGGAAACAGCTGTTAGTGACATCTTCATTTGTCATATATGAGGTTCATTTCCCCTGCGATAGGGGACCAGAGTGCCAATATTTACAGGCAGGATGAATTTTTCCTTGCTCAGAGATGGAGTAGGCAAAGTTAAAACCAGATGACATTAGCAGTGTACATTGTACATAACAGAATTTTATGGGAGAAATAAATGTATAAATGATATCCAATGAAAATTTGTAATGGCAAATGTTTATAATAGGGTATTCTCAAAATTACCAGTTCTTTGGCTTAGTTTTATTGGAATAGTCGAAAATTAAAATTAAAAATTTGAGACATTCTATATTGCATAAAGATAAGGGGATGGGTTAAACACTGTCTATAGGTCTACCTTGTTTGTCATTGTACTTTTTTACCATTTTAATTTCAACTTTGTGTTTCTGTTAGACATTGGCTGTTGTTACTGTACCAGTTTTTACCATTGTTTCACTGATTGCTCTATTACCTTGTTTGTTCCTATTAGCTATTTAAGGGGTTTTTTAAACGTTGTACAAAATTCACTGTTTAAACTGTTATTTCTTGGTAAAAATAACTTCATTTATTAAAGTACACATCTTATTCCTTTGTTTTATATTATGGATACATTCGCGTTCATGATTCGAAAACAGATTTTATTGCTATTCTTCCGACTGTTTTAGTTGGTGCCCTAGTCAAGCTGTGCCATCATCACCATTTTTCTATTCATTATACAGATTTGGCAATACAAATCTTCTTTTTTTTTATCACAAAAGAAACTACCTACATATATTATCACAAATATCTTTCTTTACGAAACCCTCCTCTCCACAAATATTTGTGCTGCAAAACTCTTTTCCAGTTCACAAATTTGACTCGAACATATTCTTGAATACATCACTTAGTTTTTCTGATAGCAAAACTGGTCTGGGTGTCTGTACTGTCATTCCTGTGCATGGATTTTCTGTCGGAGGGAGTTGTGCATGGTCTGTAGAGTATGAGACTTGATTTGTGTTGTTTTCTATTACAGTCCTATTGGAAGCTCTAGGTAAGCTTATTAACTAAAGCTAGTGATATTGAGTATATTATAATAATCATTATAGTAACTTTATTTAGGGAGGGTGACATATTTAGTAAAATTACTAATCTTCTGTATGGTCCTGGAACTGAAATTACACAATGTTAATAATACAAAATATGACAATTTCTTACATTACTACATATATATACACTGTAGTAATGAAAGTCTCAACGTCAATTTGACCGCAGAAAAGAATTAAATACTGGAAGACAATATCCCACTATTATTTTCGCCCATCTTGAGGCTCTTGTATATTGGAATTGTGATGTCATACTTAAGATGTCATCATTATTGACGTCAAAAACAAACTGCACATGAATACATCTATAAATGAGGGCATTTTCATATTATTAAAACACGTACACTTGCATTAAATGTGTCAATAAAATATACATAAAAAGAAGTGAGGCATGTACATATATTAATGTAAGATTATACTTACCTTTATTAACTTTCCTTCCCAAGCATGACACACTGTTTTTTGAATGCCAAACAAAAGACCTGTTATAGCTATAGGTTCCAATGAAATTGGAGTATTAAAACTGTCCATTCTGAATCTTAATTTTGATACCATGTGCTTGATAAGCATAAATCAGATGTTATTATAAGATCCCAAAAAACAGTAGCATTTATAGTATCATTTAATAGTAACCATAGAATATTGTATAAATTGACCTAAAATGTTTGATGCTTTTAACATCTTTATATCTGTTTATATATATCCTTTTATTTACACATTACAGTTTAGTCAGGATAATGAAGCCAACATTAAGCTGGTTGTCTCACCTCACCCAGCTTCAACTAAATTAATATAGATATACTACCACCCAGTCACTACCATTACAACTGTTCCAACACAAGCCATCATTAATTTTATTGTCCCACTATCCAACCACCTAACTCTATTGTCCCACTATCCAACAACCTAATTTTATTGTCCCACTATCCAACCACCTAACTCTATTGTCCCACTATCCAACAACCTGATTCTATTGTCCCACTATCCAACAACCTAATTCTATTGTCCCACTATCAAACCACCTAATTCTATTGTCCCACTATCCAACCACCTATTTTTTGTCCAATTATCCAACCACCTTATTCTATTGTCCCACTATCAAACCACCTAATTCTTTTGTCCCACTATCAAACCACCTAATTATATTGTCCCACTATCCAACCCCCTAATTCTATTGTCCCACTATCAAACCACCTTATTCTATTGTCCCACTATCCAACCACCTAATTATATTGTCCCACTATCCAACCACCTAATTCTATTGTTCCACTATCAAACCACCTAATTCTATTGTCCCACTATCAAACCACCTATTTTATTGTCCCACTATCAAACCACCTTATTCTATTGTCCCACTAGCCAACCACCTAATTCTATTGTCCCACTATCCAACAACCTGATTCTATTGTCCCACTATCCAACAACCTAATTTTATTGTCCCACTATCCAACCACCTAATTCTATTGTTCCACTATCAAACCACCTAATTCTATTGTCCCACTGTCAAACCACCTTATTCTATTGTCCCACTATCAAACCCCCTAATTATATTGTCCCACTATCCAACCACCTAATTCTATTGTTCCACTATCAAACCACCTAATTCTATTGTCCCACTGTCAAACCACCTTATTCTATTGTCCCACTATCAAACCACCTTATTCTATTGTCCCACTATCCAACCCCCTAATTCTATTGTCCCACTATCCAACCCCCTAATTCTATTGTCCCACTATCAAACCACCTTATTCTATTGTCCCACTAGCCAACCACCTAATTCTATTGTCCCACTATCCAACCACCTAATTCTATTGTCCCACTATACAACAACCTAATTCTATTGTCCCACTATCCAACCACCTAATTCTATTGTCCCACTATCCAACCACCTAATTTTATTGTCCCACTATCCAACCACCTAATTTTATTGTCCAATTATCCAACCACCATCTAGATTCTTGATAGAAACAACAGTGGCTTGTTTATTGAGACTCTACTGTTAACGGTATATCTTCATACATAAGTAGTGGTTAGTTCAAGCCTTTTAAGGCATCAGAAGGTGACCAGAATATTTCAATTTGCCTTTTTTTGATATTTGTAATTTGATGTCATTGGGATTGTCAATAAATATAATTTTGACCACAAAGTTCACATTAAATAAGGTATATTTTGCTATATATATATTCCCATTTAGCATGGTAGTTGAAGCTTACAAAAATATGAAGAAAATCAGTGGAATTGTTTATATTAAGAGATACAATCTGATGTCCTGAGGTACAATCTGATGTCCTGAGGTACAGTCTGATGTCCTGAGGTACAATCTGATGTCCTGAGGTACAATCAGATGTCATGAGGTACAATCTGATGTCCTGAGGTACACTCTGATGTCCTGAGGTACACTCTGATGTCCTGAGGTACACTCTGATGTCCTGAGGTACACTCTGATGTACATGAGGTATCCTAGGCTAGATCTTGATATCAGGAGTTTCTCTATTATACTAATAGGTTGTCATAACTGATCAAGTTTGATTGGGTCCCAGCCAATATGAGAGCATCACCAACATATATAATAGACCTAATTCTCCTGGCTTGTACATTCAGTCTTTTCTGACAGTTGTTCTCATTCCTATCACATTTTGGTTGATTCCTTGAACCTAAAGGCACAATAGCATCTGCACTGACCATTCATTAGAATTGTATAGTATTGCACTTGAAGTGACTTGGGAGTGTTTGTTGTTCCTTTATATTGACTGACATTCTGTATATCTGTAGTCGACACATGGGTGACATGTATATGTCATGGTAACCTCTGTTACTTTATACAATAACACCCGTTTATGATCGTTCGTAGCGTCCACGCATGCCTCATATGTTGTAAAGCATGAAGGAAGTATAGATGTTTTTGAAATCTTTGTTCTGTGTTCGACTTCATGTTAATAAAGAACAGTGCATCACATTAAAATTGGATCATGATCACCTATTATGAAATCAGATATTTTTGGTGGGGCCCAAATTTTGTTAATTCCCAAAAGAGCCATATTGTAAATCTAAATATGTAACCCTGTCTAAATAAAAGACATTATTATTATGATTATTATTATTATATTAAGGCACCATTTCTTGGATACATGAATTTGTGGATTACGAGTATCCACTAAAGTGGAGAATTGCTTTATATCAAACCTGTAACTACTTTGTAGACCTATGAATTCGCGACTGAGATTTACCCACAAAATCTTTTGGGAAAACCCCACAAATATTAGTGATTTCACAGTATGTCATTATCTGATTATTTTCTCAAGACAACACAAGATACATTGCCTGGTGGAATAATACTTCTCTTCCTCACCGTACAAAAGGTTTTCCATTCTGTAGTTTCATTCCAATCTCATACATACATACATATATACATACATAAATACATACATAATTATGTTTTTCATCAAATTCTTTTACTTTGTATTAAGAACCTCCTGTTTATTCCATTTTTCGTTTGTTTTTATCCTCAGACGTCTCACCCGACAGGATTCGGCAGAAATGCCTACGTATGTCATCTCCGTATATCAATGTCATTTGTGTTAACAGCTAGATACTTCTCTCCAGTACATCAACCAGTTTAATTTGTGGAGAGAAAAACAGATCTCCATAAAATGTTATATTGAAAAATTAAAATATGAAACGTGTACTTATTCAACAGGTTTATATTTGTGATATTTTTGATTTTTTTTTTGAATTTCACATGAAATATTGAAAATTATTTCATTTGTGTCAAAAAAAATTAGCATTCAAAATACCTATACTGGCTTCAAATAGACACTGTCAAAAATATCGGGATAAACAAAAAAATATATTGGAATATTTTTTGAGGATTCCAATTTTCAGTTGGTTGATGTAGCTGAGGTGTAGTCACAGGTAAATGTAGTCCATTGTAACACATATATATATAACTTAACAGTCGAGTCAGGATACATATATTTTGTATTGTCTTCAACTTGTACTAGCACCGGCTGTTTGCTGCATTGGGATGGGTGATCATTTTTACACATTAGAGCTTCATTTTAGGTTGCCTGCTTTAAAGATATTTTCTTTATACATTTCTAATATCTAGCAATAAAAACTGATTAATAACTGGGTAGTTTCCAATTTGTTTTACTTTATGAATTAACCTTTTGTTCAATTAAGCCAAAGGTATTGTTTACACTTGTATTTCACTAACTGGAAATCAAATGGAACCTGGTTAATCTTAACTAATGGCATAAAATATTCTGATATTTTTTATCATCTGATATTTTAAAATATTAGTGAAGTTTTAAAAAGACTGAAATTTTGTTCTCTTTCTTAAGTACTGATCATATGACGGAAGATTCATGCTTGCCAACCTTTTAAATTTCCTTAGAGGAGATTATGCGAGTTCAAAGATTAAAAACATAAATAAAATGTGTGTATAGGCCCCTAGTGACCAAATAACCTTTATGACATATTTTGTGTTGTTATTTCAGATGAAATCACTAGCTATTAGAATGTAGGAATAGTTTAGCAAATTCACTGCTTAGGCTCCAAAACCTTGAGTCTCCATATAACAAATAGGAAAACTTAGCAAGTTTGTGAAGTAAATATTTCATTTAATGATCTGAGTATAAAGACCTGCAAGAGCAAATTTTCCGGTTAAAATCTGAGCCTGGATTAAACATATGTTACTGTGCATGTGGGAAATAAGCACTTACTGTACTGCAGAGAAGGAGTGGATTAATGCATGAGTTTTCTGTATGTGTCACAATGGCAGCAAAATAAAGTCATATCACATCTCACACTCAAACCTATACATTCTTTCCACTGTAAAATAATAGACTTTTCCAGGGTATTTTCACCACCTTCCTTGACTCAAGGCTTAAGATTGGGAAAATAAGGCCTATCATTGCAACTGTCTGAAAAATTCATCAATGTTTGTATAAAAGTAGATTTTTTGAATTCTTGTTACATTATGTATATCTTATTATCATAATTGAAGGGAATGTTGAAGGGAAGAAAATTGGTCTACTAGAGACAAAATCTAAAAAAAAATATTTTTATCATATTTGGGAATAAAAAATGTCCAAGTCTTTTGGATTGTATAAGGACAGGAAAAGCCCTGTCAGTGATCACATTAGATAAAATTGTATGCAGAATATTTGATTGTTTGTCTAGTCTGTTGTGTCCGGGGGAGGTATAGCTTCGGCTTGAAATATACATGTTGAGATGTAACCTCAGGTACCTTCTGTATCACACAGGATCGTATGTAGTAGCTAGGCGAGGTAGCTTGGGTCAGCTCAGGGACTCTGTTTAACATGTTATAATGTAACCGTGATAATAACTAATAATCCCGCATGACCTACATCTGTATTCACTCCTACATACCTCAACCCTGCCTTCCCTCTACCCCACTATAGCATGCCACTGCAAATAATTTAACAATTATGAAAATGTAAATATGTCATGATATGTGTAATTATGTCATAAATTAATAATATGCTAATATGCTATATGGTTTGGAAATAAGTCATGACGTCAAGAAACTACATAGTAGGTTCCTACACTTTCATATAATTAGGACTAATTATTTTTGACACAAATTACCCAACAAATGACCAATGTTAATAAATATATTTATGTACTTAACAGTATTTTTACAATTGAAAAACAAGTTTATGTACATGTATATTGATTGCACAAACTAATTTCAAATCGTAACAAAATAAATATAAAAAAAAGAAAATGCAAAGTTAATATGTCATTTTTGACATTCTTTATTTCTAGACCAAGAAAAGAATATGTAAGCTTGGGATAATTATTTTCCCAGATCAATTCTAATTAATACATTTTACTTCAGAACTAAATGGGTTATTTTTTTTGTCAAAACTAAATACTGTTATATGTTGGGTATTGGAGTGATTAAGGTACTAACTATTGTACTTTAGACCTTACAAGTTCACTTGTATGCAGTCAGCTAAACACCTTGTGTTACAGATTTTCAGTAAACATGTTTGATTCCCAGCAAAATTTGTAAAAACTCATTTTCACAACAATTTCATTCCAAAACATTTCATGAAAATAGGTTGGTTACATTTGTTCAAAAGATCAATTCACGCACGAGTAATCATTTGTTTTACAGATTCTAGTTACACAGTTTACAAAACTTGCTAAGTATTAGATATCTTAGCTTTGTTAAACATGTCAATAATACTTCAAGATATTCATGTATTGATTTTATGATACAAATCAAAGAAAAAAACATTTACGGAACAATATAATGTGCAGTAAGTCTGGTTAGAATAAAGGAACTGTTTTTACAGGCGGGCGGAACAAGACCGCTTTTTGAGGGACGAGGAAAGCAAAATCAACCTAAGCAATGACCGAACGCTACAGGACTTAAAACAGAGGCTGAAGAAGGAGCTAGAGAACGCCAAGCTTGACCTGTTAGAGGTAATAGAGGTCAAAGGTCAGGTTAGCTGTAAAGGCAAAGGTTAATGGTTAAGGATTTCGAAAAAAATGAAAACATCAGGACAGACCTGCAGACTTCTGTATATTTTAAGGAGAACATGTGCTATTCTGTTCTAAAACAGCATGCACGCAGCTGGAGATTAGCTTTTCAAAGTACAATAATCTTGTCGATTGATTAAACAATTTTCATATGCCTTAAAAAAAAAAAATGAAATATATTCTTATACTCTAAGGTATAACATGTATTGAGTTGTAAAGTTTTAGATGAAAATATCTGAATTTAAATTTTAGATGTTTGTAAAAAAAATATTTCTTTAAAATATCTGGATTAAAAAAGTCTTGAAAATTGAAACTCAAGGCCTAAATTTGTATTTTCACTGTGTATACAAGAAATCATTTTAATTTTTCATTAAATTCTCCATTTATTCTGTAGGATAAAGATCGAAAGTTGCGCAAACTGAAAGAGGAGATAGCACTGGACCAGGATACAGAAGAAACACGACTGAAGCATGAAAAAGAGCAACAGTTTAAGTAAGTAGAGAAGTACTCTGTATAACCAATATCTTTGTTTATCATTAAAACAGCTATACCAGCCAAGTGCTTGTGTCTGTCTGTCATTGAAAGTTAGTATAAGGTATTACAGACAAATCAAGAAATCAACCTGGGATTTCTCAATATAGAATTAAAACCTCCAACAGAACCCCAGAGAATTGCCACTATGATTTTATTGATTTACAATTGTTTAATTAAAAGAAAATTGGTTTACATTTTGAAAAAATTAAAACAAAATGCATGTAAAATATTTTCTAAACAAACTTATAATTTGTGGTACTATTTTATAATATTATTAAAAAATTATTCATTTGATTGAAGTAGAACCTGTTGAAGTGCTTATTTTTGTTAGACGAAGAAATATTTAGTATTTTCATATATCATTTGAATTGAATCAGATTACAAATAATATTTACTATCAGCAAAAAAACAAAAATTCCCCTCTCAGATTTTTCTCCCAATTAATCAAAGCTAGATCTTCCCTTAAATGAAAAATCATTTATTAAAAGATGCAGAGATACAATAGATAAGAATTGATTTTATATTTGTCACGAATCAAAACTCATTTGTTTGTCTTTGAGTGCAATATATGTTTATTCCTAACTGTCAAATTGTATTTTTGGGTTATCTCCCTTCCTAATTGTTGCTTCCTTTCATCATTATCCCCCCTGTCCCTCTATACAGTGAGTTGGAAACTCAGATTAAGTCTGATTTAGAGAAAGAAAAAAACTCTCTAGATGAAGAAAAGGCTGCCACACTTGAACGTTTACTTGAGGAAATGAAGGAGCATCATGCTCAGGAGGAGGAAACTCTGCGGTAAACTTGACCGGGCAACTGACCTGTCCATGGCCTGTTTTTATCCATCCTTCCTGTTCTTGTTGTTGTTAAAGCATGGTTGTTGTGTGTATTTTGTGCAGAGATTTGATCCCAAGTTCTATTTTTATTTTTCATTTTTTTCATTTTGTCCCCATTTCATTTACTGACACATGGTTGATCAACACATGTTTTCCATCACAATTATTGTTAACAAGTTAGTAAAGACATTTTAACATTATTTCCTTCATTTTGAGCTGTGCATGCTGACTGTTTTCCCGTATTTTCACAATATGCCCGTATAACTCTAGCTCTTTATTTTAAAGTGTATTTTAGATTTCCTGGTTCATCAAAAAGCTTCATTTACCCTATAAATTCATAATTTTACCAAGGAATTACATGATGATTGACCCATTTTTGTCCTTTTCCCATCCATGTCAAAGAATGCTGCTACTGTTGTTACAGAATACTCATCATTTCTAATGATACAAATACTTAACTCATTCACCCTTGAATACACATTTGAACTCTCCCGATTTAAAGGTTGGAATAGTTCATTATGAAATTTCAGGGATGAATGAGTTAATGGTGGCAATGTGTTTGAAAAACAAATGCTGAGGGTTCTTAAACATTACTCTGTTGATTGCTGTAAGAATGTACTGCATGTAACGGAACAAAATCTTATTGATTAGTAGTAAGGTATAAGTAATAGGGATATATACCTGGTATACATTACTAAATTGTTAAGTATTTTGATCTTAGCTACTAGCTTTCTGATTACACAAATTAATGCAGAGTTAGATACCCATTGAAAAAATAATATGGGTTTAGCTAATTGAGTATGATGTGAAAAAAAATCCCCAAACTTTTCATCAGGTGAATTTTACTCCGAGCAGAACTAGATATCCAAAAACATGATTATGTTTCTGTGGTCACAAATTAACTAGTAGTAAGGTATAAGTAATAGGGCTGCACCGATTTATTGTATCGTATCATATCGTATTGTGAGGTATACGTATCGTTGCCGCCCTAATGATTAATCTTTAAAATCAATTTAGAACAATACATTTTCTGATCTAATGTTGGTGTTACATTACAAACAGGCAGACAAGATGAATAAACACACTTCTCTATTGGTCATTACTCAATGGTTCTGAGGGTAGACTTCTGCACTTGAACTTTTCTGTTCTATAATATTGCTGTAAAATAACAAATACTTCTTGTGCCAAATCAATGTTTTGAACGTACACACAGTATCTCCAATTTTAACTCATTGACCCCTGAAGACACATTTGAACCCTTCCAATTCAAAGGTTGGAATAGTTCATTATGAAATTTCAGGGGTGAATGAGTTAATACAACAAATGGTTGTAAAAAAAATTGTAGGAAACAAATGGATGGAGACTTGGAAAAGCTTCGAGAAGAAGTAAGGTCACTGCAGAAGGAAGAGCAGAGCCGATTGGTCGAGGACAAACATAAGATACTGGAGCGTTTGAAATCTCAAGTTGACTCCGAGACGTTGGAGGAGCAGCGTCGCCTGGAGGAACAGAAGAGGGAACAATTTGAGGCACTTCAGGCCAAACAAAGACTAGAACTGGAAAGTATGACAGAAGAAGCAGAGCGGAAACATCGCGATAAGGTCGACCAAGTCAAGCGTGAATCATCGGGCAGACACGAGAAGGTAAGTCACTAGAGCATGGTATCTTGGCCAGGCTTTCCTGGAGTGTGATGGCTGCTCAAAGTTTTGATGTGCATTTTGTTCAATTTAGTTTTGGCGATATAGGCCTGCTAGTTCATACATGTATCTGTAACACAATATTTGTTTGCAAAAAATGGCAACTAGTTTACTTATCTCCTTACACACAATCAAATGAATTAAAAAAGTTAAACATCAGCTGGTGAACATTAAAACGTCTATGAAAACCAAGGATTCCGTTATTGCTGACATAGCTTCTCTGCTTCATTGGAGTATGTAATGACAAAATGGTTTGTCCGTGATTAGCTATTTGATAGGTTGGTTATAGCTATTCGATTGGTTGGTAGCTATTTGATTGATTGGTAGCTATTTGATTGGTTGGTTATAACTATTTGATTGGTTGGTTAGCTATTTTATTGGTTCCGGTCAGTTTGACTGTTTTGCTGTCATCTGATTGCTTTCATGGTGCATCAAAGAGATCACAGGTATGGAGGATTCTGTAACAGTTCGCAGACTAGCCAACTTGTATTATATGCAAGGTTGCTTGTCTGGAGCCTTCAGTTTTGTCAAGACATACTCCAATAGTGTGGAGGAGATTATACAACTCTTTCATGCACAGGGGTGTAGGATAGGGAAATGATGTAACTCGGCCTTGGTTTTCAAATTTGGTTTTACCAAATCTGACAACCCCTCGAGTGGAAACGAGATTTGAAACCCCCCTCGGGTGGAATTTCCCTATCCTTCAACCCTCTTTATAAGATAACATTAAAAGAAATCCTAGAACTTGTTCCAAAAAATATATTTCACTTATGGCAGATTTTTAGGTCACCTGAGACAAAGTCTCAAGTGACCTATTGCGATCGCCTTTTGTCCGTCGTCGTCCGTCGTCCGTCGTGCGTCCGTAAACAATTTACATTTTCGACTTCTTCTCCAAAACCCCTGAACCAATTTCAATGAAATTTTGCAGGGACCTTCCATGGACAAAGGTCAACAAAAATNGCTCAAGGGAGTCAGTGTGCTAAAATTTCTTCATTTTCCTTGTTTAGAATCAGAGGTGCTAGTTTCAAATCCTTTTTAGTCTGAAATCTGTATGCTAGATATTGAATAAGGTGGTTTTATTGTTTTTTGTCACTTTGAATAATATTTCTGTTCATGTTAAAAACGAAATCAACTCTCTGTATGAATATATCAGGTGACCGTTAAGGCCCATGGGCCTCTTGTTTTTTCCATATTATTTCGTATTACGCACCAATGGAAAATAAAATTCGTCCATAAGTGAAATTCAATTTCGTATTGATGCGTAATACTCATGAAATTAAAATCATTATGGTATTTTGTCATAGATGTGAAGTCTATTGTATTCAACCTGAAACCATTAGATATTCTCTCTGTACTTGTATAAGAATAAATGAATCAGAAGTTTTGATACTACTTCAATCGTGTCAGCTTTAATACAGTAGAATTACATCTGAGAGCTAGGTAGAGTTTGGCAATACTTGTGTGGATGCTAAGTGCTTCAGTTTTGAACTTAATTTAGGAGCTTCAGCGCATTAGAGAAGAACTTAAACATGTTCACGAACAGGAGAGGGAGGAGAAAGAACAAGAGCTGGAGGCCGCTAAACAGCGCCAGAAGGCTATAGACGACCTGGACCGAGGGGTGAGGCAGACAATAGCAGGCTACACATCTTCATTGTTACACACATAAGTCACTAATTGAAACTGAATTATATCATCTGCCAAATGACAAAAATGGGCTCAAAACATCAGTAGAGTGTCATAGCGTGTTCAAATGAGTTACAAACATGTTTAATAAATCTTTTTATGGTTCTTACAGAATATCTCAAATGAGTTACAAACATGTTTTATAAATCTTTATGGTTTTTACCAGAATATTCAAATGGAAATGATAGGTTGTACTGTGCTACCTAATAAATTCATTGGAATTTTCCAATCTGATATGGCAGCTGAAAGGGACTCGGAGGTAATTCACTTAAGCCTGAAAACACTGTCTATTTACATCTATTTACATCTGACAGCTGGATGAGGTGATGTCCGAGCGACGACAGGACATACAGCAGCAGCAACAGAAAGAGTTGTCCCGCCTTAGAGACGAGCATGACAACGCCATCCGAAAACTCCGAGAGGAGTTCCAAGATAAGGTATGGAGTGGTAAAGGGTAAAGGAGTTCCAAGATAAGGTATGGAGTGGTAGAGAGTGGGGGAGATCCAAGAAAAGGTTGGAGTGGTAGAGGGTCGAGGAGTTCCAAGATAAGATATGGAGTGGTAGAGGGTCGAGGAGTTCCAAGAAAAGGTATGGTGTGGTAAAGGGTAGTGGAGTTCCAAGATAAGGTATGGAGTGGTGAAGGGTAGAGGAGTTTCAAGATAAGGTATGGAGTGGTAGAGGGTAGAGGAGTTCCAAGATAAGGTATGGAGTGGTGAAGGGTAAAGGAGTTCCAAGATAAGGTATGGAGTGGTGAAGGGTAGAGGAGTTTCAAGATAAGGTATGGAGTGGTAGAGGGTAGAGGAGTTCCAAGATAAGGTATGGAGTGGTGAAGGGTAAAGGAGTTCCAAGATAAGGTATGGAGTGGTGAAGGGTAGAGGAGTTTCAAGATAAGGTATGGAGTGGTAAAGGGTAGAGGAGTTCCAAGATAAGGGATGGAGTGGTAAAGGGTAGAGGAGTTCCAAGATAAGGTATGGAGTGGTAGAATGTAGAGGAGTTCCAAGATAAGGTATGGAGTGGTAAAGGGTAGAGGAGTTTCAAGATAAGGTATGGAGTGGTAAAGGGTAGAGGAGTTCCAAGATAAGGTATGGAGTGGTAGAATGTAGAATAGTTCCAAGATAAGGGATTGGGTGGTAGAGGAGTTCCAACAGGTAGATTTATAATATATTTGATTTTTATCTCACCTGCCCGAAGGGCAAGTGATCTTATGTCATGGTGCGACATCTGTCGTCTGTCAGTCCGTCATCGTCAATCAACTTTTCCTTTAAACAACTTCTTCTAAAGAACGGACTGGCCTAGAGTCTTGATATTTGGCTGAAAGCTTTGTTGGTAATAGCCAAACAAAGTTTGAGAACGAAAATGACCTTGACCTACTTTCAGAACAGGGGTCAAATATGTCAAACACGTTAACAACTTCTTCTGAAGAACTAAAAGGTATATAATATTCATATTTGGCTGGTGGTTCCTGGGATAAAACCCGACATAATTGAGAATGAAAATGACCTTGACCTACTTTCAAGGTCACAGTGGTCAAATGTGTCAAACACTTCAAACGATTTCTTCAGAAGAACTGAAAGGTAGCTTCCTTGGATAGAGCCCGACAAAGTTTGAGAATGAAAATGACCTTGACCTACTTTCAAGATCACTTTGGTCAAATGTGTCTAACACTTCAAATGACTTCCCCAGAAAACCTAAAAGGTATAGAATATTCATATTTGGCTGGTTGCTTTTTAGCTCACCTGGCCCAAAGCCCTGGCTGCGTCCGGCGTCTTGCGTCAATATTTTACTTTAAACAACTTCTTCTTAATAACCAAAAGGCCTAGGGTGATGATATTTGGCCAGAAGCAAACTAGGATGAAGGGCTACCAAGTTTGTTCAAATAAATGACCTTCACCTATTTTCAAGGTCACAGGGGTCAAATATGTTAAAAACTTTAAACAACTTCTTCTGAATAACCAAAATGCCCAGG